AATGGTTAATAAGTAGAGATATTAACTAATTAAGCTAGTACTTTATAAGATAAATTGTTGCTAAAAGAATCGTCAAGAGTAATTAATATAAGCTATAGCTTGTTGTAAAAGGGATAGTAATCCTTTTTGAATTTGCCCTTAAGCTACTTATATCTATGACCCTTAGTATTTTTTATTAATAGGTAAATTAGCTAGTTTATAAAGTAAGCTATAATAGTAATAAAAAAAATAAAAAAGAAAGAAATTAAAGTAATAATAAAAAGGTATTAAGAGGGATATTATTCCCTTTTCTATATATTTAAGCGTATATACTCTTTGATCTTTACTTTAGCCTACTTAGCTATTATATATCTAATCTTTTATAAAGCAAAAGCCTATTTATTTATACTAAAAATATAAAAAATAAAATATACTTAAAAATAAAGCTTAATAAGCTAAATTTAATGTAGTTAACTATTTTTAAGAAACTAATATAAATTATATTATAGTAATTAGTAATAGAAAATAATAAATATAGTAATAGTTTTTAGTAATATTATTATAGTTATTTAATTAGCGTTATTGCGAATTTTGTATTATTACTTAGTATATAATATGCTAATAGCTAGCAAATATTGGATTTTTTTTCTCTAGCTATATTTAACGTTTATGTTAAGTCCTTTAAGATGCTTTAGTTCTTTGCGATAAGGGTATAGGCTAGCCTTGTGAGGGCATTCATAACTCTATCAACCTAGATAGTATGTATTTATTGTTGCTGTAATTGTTCTTCTTTGGCTGTGTATATAGATATCTTTGGATGAAAGTATGGAGATGATGGACGTTGGTGGCTAGGGCCGTAGTATCTGTACTCCTATTCTCCTGGGCTGGCCTATATCCAGCCTGCCTATATCCAGCCTGCCTATATCCAGCCTGCCCATATCTAGCCTGGTTATACGTGACCCTAAGGGATTTGAGACATGGTAGCACTTGGCTGAAGAAAAAAACCCTATGATAGTAGATTTGTTGGCGTTATATAGGGGGGGGGGCCTGAGCGAAAGAGAGTCGGCGCAACTTTAGGCCGCGGGTTGGCGGGTTTGTCCTAATGGTGCACCGTACATTAGTTTCCAATCGGATGATCCGCAAGTTTGCCCAAGCGCCTCCCGTGTGCTGGAAGATTGAAAGTATGTCTTACTTCACCTTGAGAAAGCCTCTTGTCAGAAAAGGCGCCCTGCGACACGTTCACAAACCAGAGTGCTAGCGTAAAATAGGAGTTTTCCAACAATCATGCTTAGGCCAAAGAGTGCGAGGCTAAGAGCGCCATGTGAAGAGCAGTCCGGGGGCAGTATTAAGCAGCGTTATTATATCATAACTTTGTGCCCAATCTTCCGCCATGAGCAGCAGGCCACGGGTGCTTCCAAAGTTCCGCAACAGATAAGACAACATAAGAAATTAAGAATTATCAGGGTCCACGTCTGCTTCATTGGACGTGGAAAGGAACGCTAGCAGCCCATAGTACCAGTGTTCCCACGGGACACTGCAACGCGTTTCCACGCCTCTCTCGCGGCTTGGCATGTTACCAACTGGAGCAAACGGAGCAGCCTCTTTCGGCTCTGCGGACCGTCTTCAGTCAAACGATGCATATTGCTCTGCTTTTTTTTTTTTTTTTGGATGTATACATATGCACTTACCTTTTTTCGCAAAAGTGTTGGTAACTTGGCGTGAAGGTGCGTCAATTTTGGTCAAGTGAAAGACATGGAGGTTTACACTCGGTCTTTTATACTGGCGCTATAGTAACAATGCATATTTTGGCATATTTAGGTGAGAAAGGTTATTAGCGCTAGAGCGGTCTGGCCTGACTTGGTGATCCAATTCTTGGATTTATGAACGAGTAAGCGTCGTCGGAGAGAAATATCCGAAGCCTAAGAAATGTGTGGCGGTAGGAAGAATGATAGTCGAGAAGAGACGGCAGGTATAAGTGAAGCAGAGAAAGGCTGGATGCATCTTGGAGCTGAAAAAGGGGGGGAGACAATCAGGCTTTGAGCGCAAACAACAAACCCCTAAGACTGCTGGTGTTGGAAAGTCGGCGACGTAGGCTTCTCGGGTTGCTGGCACTTTCACTTGAAGCCGACAAAACGGAGTCAAGAACGGTGAGCGAGAGACGGAGGTCAAGCTTCGAAGGAGAAGGGCATGCCCAATGCGTCGTTCTGGCACTGCGTATCTGCTAGTACCTTTCCACTGGGCTGCAGATAAGCCAGGCCATATCCGTATCTGCATCGGCAATAATCTGGAAGACGGGGAGAGAAAATGAAGAATAGGAGCAAGAAGAAGAAAAGAAAAACAAAAAGCGAAACAGCAGGTTTATGGATGAAAGGGAGGAGGGGAGAGGAGTCAGCGCGCTGGAGCCATCCCCGCAGCTAATTACAAGGGCAACCCTTTGGGAAGACGCTCATTGGCAGTCTTACTTGTCTACGGATAGACAAGCACCAACCGCCTGCCAACAGGCGACTTCCGACCTGGTCTCGGTCTTGTCTATATTTTCTTTGCCCTTCCATACCGCTCCATTACCTGCGTGAGGTACAGCTGCAGTACCTAAGCTCTGCGACTCCCCAGTTGTATAGCGTCTCATGTATCTCGGACTTTTTCTCCTTAACTGGGCTAATCAGACCCCATTCCGTACCATATGTCTCACGAACACGCTCTTTCGCTCTGTAGTCGTCTGCTCTCATCACCTGCCGTCTCCTGTTGCCCCAAGGCCTCATCGCTGCATCCGTTCTGCTTGGGCACCCATCGCCCCATAGAAACCAAAGTAAGTTACCCGGCCACATCACTGGACGGGAATTGACCCTACCTAGCTCCCGCCCGCAATCGATTCCCCCTCTTCGTCTTGGTCCAGACCACGATACGCCAACTATGAAAATTACCATGCCTCGCCCCGCGCTGTTGAACGACACGCCAGCCGCGCACGCCTATACCCTTTCCTAAAAACCGCCAGGGTCTGGTCAAATATGCCCTCTCCCGCCCTCCAGTTCTTCGTCATCGCGTCCCCTTGGTTTCTTTGGTTTGATGTCAGTATCTTTCTACATGTTCATCTTCGGGCTTATATCCGTGCGACAAAAGTTGGACCAAACTCACAGCCTTCAACCACATCTTTTCTCCATCCCAACCACCAGGTCACATCCATTTTGAGTTTGTTTCCAAAGCACCCACTCGAGATAACTTCCTAAGCGGCCCGCTCGTAGAGTCCGCCATCCCATATTTGTACGATTTTCACCCACGGCCGTGGTTCAGCCCAAGTATGCAAGTCAGCTATGATCCATTCGTTAGGAGTCAAATGGCTCAGTCAGGTAATCTCGGCTAAGCCCTACTAATTAATGGCCGTCCTACGTATACGGACACGCGAGGTCCTTCCCGCAAAATCGACTCCTGTATGCTTATCGAGCCGCAAGGCCCTACCGCCGGCGCCATCCGGGCAAAACAGTACCAGGACAACCTTATCTGCCAGTCTCTGAACCATACCGACTATTAGCTGTTGCGGCGGCGGCCTATAGCGGTAAGCATCGAAACCAAGGCGCCTGGGGAAGGAATTAACGACGCCCAGAGCTACCTCCTGGTCTGGCTCGAAGCTCAGTGGCGTGTGTTGGACCGGCTTTCTAATCGAGTGGAGCCTCTGCTTCCGCTGCCGGAATTCCTCCCGGGTGTCATTGTTGAAGTACACTAGTCGCATTTTGTAGTGAGCATAAAGAGTGAAATAGAAACGGAATGAGTGACACGGGTTCCTTGGTTCGTTTGCATAAGTATTGCTTGAGTGGTTGCTGGTATTGCAAAGACTTTTGGATGAAGCAGCTCATGGGTACCACCGAGGAGGCGATTGGCATTTATTACTCTGTTTTCTGCACGCTGTAATACCTGGCTCATTGGATCCGGACCGTCCACTGGCCTACTTTCCAGTGGTTTATGTCCTTTTCCCTAATGACGTCAGGGACATCAGACACAACGGGACCTACGACAGACTCTGCTACCCTGTCTTAGTCGGAGAAGGCGGCACCAAAGAAGGTCCGACGGCCATCTTAGCGAGCCGTGTCGAAAACAATCCTAGCCTTTTTCTTCCCTAGCCTTAAGGCATGCACGGGGTTATCGACCAATATATAGGACACCTGAAAAAGCTTCAAGATGCCCTTATACACAGAAAAGACAAACCTTTTCCCATTCCTGCTGTCCAAAGTTTTCATCATTCGCTTGCTCTAGGCGCACACCACCACCCGAAACCTCAAGGCATACGCTAGAGCTTGTCGCTCTGATTCGGCTTGCGATTCGGATGACGCATGATGTGGGGGAGCCCTGCCGTTCTGCCTACCAGAGGCCGACGAGAAGAAACGCTGTCATTTCTGCCCCAGCAGGTGCTTCAAGTAGAGGCAGCATGAAGAGTAGAAAAGGTGCAGGCAGAGGAGAAAGAGGGAGAGGAGGAGAAGGACAGCTGAACCTTGAGGCGCCGAGGGTTTGACCATCAACATGGAAACGCTTGCCGTTTGTGTTGGTAGCTATATCGAGCACTTATTTGCTGCTACATACATTGTTAGGTATGACACTACCTAGGTACTCCTCCATTTAGGCAGCAAGTATAATAAGGACTAATTACTTTTAGCGCTTAGTTAGCACTATTATGTGTTTATTTCCTTGTAGTAGATAGTTAAATTCATTGTACACTATGTATGAGGTAGCGTTCCTAATGAATCTAAGTCTCATTTATTCCACGCTGTTTGTTAAGCTAGTAATCTAGTAGTTATTAAAAGCTTTATAATTAAAGGATTTTATTATAAAGGATTGTATTATAACCAAAGGAATCTATATAGAAGTAAGACATTGGAAGTAGTTAACTTATAGAAAGGAATTGTTAGAACCCTCCCGATTCCTCTTCCTCTATATAGATAAACCTAGATAAATCAACGCACTTATCGGTTAGTACTATAACTAGTGCCTTCTTGTAACCATTCTGTCCTATTTATACCTCTAATATGTTCCTTTTAGAAGTATCCTGAGCGACCCTTCTTTCCGCTTCCCTCCTTCCATTTAGTAGGCTTGGCAAAATCGACGGCCGCGTCAGAGACCTGGTTAAGAATCGTAAAGACAGTCTTGAAGTCGTCAGGGACCAAGTCATCGCCGCCACAGGGATGCAAGAATTGCTGGAACGCGCCAATCTGATCCGCCGCGCCGTAGGTAAACTTAATCAGCTTGGCAACTTTGATAAGCGTCTTCATTGCCTTGGACATGAGCTTGGCCTCCGGGATCATATTGTACCCCTCTTGGAGAACTAGCTTGATCGACTGTGCGTATACATAGCAGGTAATCTGAGTCATGACAGGCAACATCTTGACAAATGTCTCTCCGAGCTCATTGACAATGGGGTTGTCGCAAGTGCACTTGCCGGGAGCGACGTATATACCTGGAGTAAACTTCTCCCAGGGGATCGTCTCGTTCAACGGGTAGAAGCCAACACAGGTGTACGATGTGGTCAACCCGGCGGCGCTGTTGATATCGTTGGAGTCCTTGCACACCTCGCGGCAGTCGTTATGCGTCGCCTCCCAGTTTGGTGGCTTGTAGAAGATGCACTTCTGCGAGTTCTCAAAGTAGTCCTCCCAGCCACCGTGGTTCAACGCGTCAGGCAAGTCGCCGTCTGGCTTCGACGGATCTGTCGTGGAGCCGCTGCCATCCTTGCAGCTACCACTCTGGCAGCCTGTACCGCAGTGAGAATCGGTCGAACCACACCAGCCGGCCGGCGAGCAGCAGTCTCCTTGAGGCCATGTACCGCAGATGGCGCCGTTTGCGCCGATACCGCAGGTTCCGTCAGTCGTCTGCACGCCCTTAAAACACTCGCCGCTCAGGCAACCAGAACCACAGTAGTCATCCGTAGAGCCACAGTACCCGGCAACGGAGCAGCACTTTCCAAAAGTGCTGCCAGTGCAGGTAGTACCACCGTTGGCCGGGCCACACTTGCTGTCAGTCGAGACGGGGGCAGTGTCAGAGTCACCTGTGCCCGAGTTGAAGTCGACACTCCAAGCCATGGTGCCGCCGAAGCAGTAGTTATTAGCGAATTTCTTCTTCATGGCGACAGTCTCTTCGTCGTCGTAGCCAACCCATTGATCGTCGAAGACGAGTTCTTTCATCATGGCGCCCTCGAGGAGGCGGGGTGTGATGTTCTTCTCTTTGATGAGGCCCTGGATCTCGACGAGGGACATGACACCTGCATTGTTGGTGCACTTTGCGGGCTTTGAAGGGCCCTTGAAGCCGCATCCGAGAGTGTTGCAGCTAGCGTCTACGTATAAATGTTAGTCTAGTCCTATCGAGGTGAGGAGGCCTGTTGGCTCTTTGGGAACATACCGGAGAGAGTATAACTGCGTCCGTACCATGCCACGCCAAAGACAATCTTTGAAAAGTCCATGTCGTCGTACACAAGGGGGATAGTGTTGTTGTAGATCTCGCGGACGTCGGCCTGCCCACGGACAATGGAGCCTAGGGTCTTGGTGTCGGCGTCCCATTAGCTGTGAAGATCGTAGGTCATGAAGCCAAAGTGATCAACATATGGCTCGAGACCTTTGCCGTCGAACCATCGCAGGTACCAGTAGTCAGGGGCGAGCGTTAGGCTGATGCCGTAGTTGGTGCCGTATGCGGCGCGCATCTCCTTGAGAAGCAAAACGAAGTTCGCAATGTCGGCACGTGAGCCGCCCCGCTTGGGATCACCCGGGTACTCCCAGTCGAGGTCCATACCCTGGAAACCGTACTGAGGGGGTTGGTGTCAGCGGAATCTTGAGACTGGTGATTCCATAAGAAACCTACTTTGTCCATGAATGCTTTGCCAGAGGTGATGAAAGCGGCGCGGGCGGCAGGGCTCGCACAGATATCATGCCAAGTGGTATGCGTCGTCCGGTTCACATCACTGAAGTCATAACCACCCACAGCAATCCAGGTCTGCAGACCGGCCTTCTTCAGGGCGGTAAACTCTTTCATGAGAGACTCATCAGCAGCCTCTGCAGGAACAACGGCGTAGGAGACCGGGTCAATGGATGCGAAAGCAAAGTTGAGGTGTGTGTAGCCGGTGGTCTTGATCTGTGAGGGCAATATGCGGTTGCAGACGCGGTTGCGGACGTTGGAGGCCTGGTAGTATCCAATGGTGCGCTTCGAAGCCGTGCCGGAGCCCTCGCCGCACGTCTTGGGGCGAAGAACCTCACACTTTCCGAAGCCTTGCTGGCAGAGGGAGAACTTGTTGGGACCAACGCAGTGGGTTTCGGAAGTACCGCACCAACCTCCTGTGAAGACCATGTGTTCAGTTCGTGGTCCAAATAGAGTAGTTAAAGAGAGTTATCTTGAAAAGACAAACCGGAACTGCAGCACAAGTTCATGCCACACTTGATGGCGCCGCCTTCAGATTGGACACCGCACATGGCCGTGGCATCGCAGTTGCTCTTGCAGCCTTCGCCGCAGAGATCGCCGTAGCCACAGACACCGTTCTTGCCGCAGCAACTATTAGTGGATAAGATTTCGTTAGCTATATGAACTTAACGAAGCTGGAAAACGTGAATATGTCTGGCTTACCTGCCGTCGGCACACTCGCCTGTGGGACAAAGGAGGGCACCGGCTCCGGGGGCTTCGGTCTGTCTCTTAAAGATGGCGGCGCGCTTATCCCACTCGGATACGGGTGGGGCGCCTATCTGTCGGCGCTCAGGCATGTACTCTGTGACGTTATCCTTGAGGCTCATGTACTCGGCCAGAGGGTCACGACCGGCATCTGCGTACGGGTTCTGGTGGGTAAGGGAGGGAGGGCGTTCACAGCTTCCATTCTGGATGAAAACTGCGGCCGTGAGAACGGCCGCGAGCAATTGTGTGCCTCCCATAATGATAGTTATTGCTGGAAGGTAGTCCAGACGCTAAGATAGAGAATGGAATGAAAGCAGATGGTAATGATCCAGGAATTGGTTTTCGAAGAATGCAGTCGTCTCCGGATTATACATGGAAACTAAGCATAGCGATAACGGTTAATTTTATTGTGAATTCATCACATTTCCCATGTCATGAATATATGCCTTAGCTGTATGAACAACCTTGCCCGACCCCATATTGCCTTGGGTGAGGCTTTTTCCTCTCCTCACCCCGGACGAAAACAAAGATCCACTCACAATAGCTAGCAAAGAGGATCTTGGTGATGATTCAAGGGCAGTCTTTGCTAGAGATGGGCTGGAGTTCGTGAGGCGCCAGTGGGAGATACGAGCAGTATGGATATTCGCAGAAACTGATCACGTCTAGACTTGACGACGGAGGTGTTGCTACGCTTCTTTGGGAACATGAGGCCGAGCCGTCGAATTTGGGCCCGCAAGCTTAAGCTGCTGCCTACCTTTGACGGGTCCACGTACCAATACGGCTCCTGTGCTCACAGGCGGCAACTATTATGCTTGAACGGGGTTCCCGAGTCTCAGGGACTCGGGAAGATTGACCGGGAGTCGATAAACCAGCATTGCCCATTCCCGTGACGAGAACGTCGATTCGAGGTGGTTGTTGACGTCTACTGGTAGTGAACCCTTACCAAAGCATTCCATACCAAAGCATTCCATTCCTGCAAAGTGAATTTTGCCAGCCTTTGGCCAAGCCATAGTCATCGCAGAACGTAGTGTTTGCGTGCAACTTTCCTGGGCTCTGCATTCCTGAGTCGGTCGGCAGCAAGCGAGATATCACCACCTGATCCGCAGACAAACCTACACAAGCCGAGGCCAAGAGATATGAACAAAGCTTAGTATCGGGGTCCACTGTCTGTGCCGCGACCCATGGCTGGAAGGGGGGTGGAGAACGTGGACCTGGAAGGATTTCCTCCTTGTCTAGTGTTGAATTTAGATTCATTACCATCCGAACAGGTCACTCATTAGTCTCAGATACCGTTGTGCAGGCTTTCGGCATCTGCGGGAAATGCGTTGCTTTGCATTGACAACTGAATGCCCCGAAGCTTTTGTACAAGATGCCCCAAGCCGGAGTTGTAAATAAAGGTCTGGCTTCTTGTGTCGCTACACTGGGTGTCATTCTAGTTAGAAACAACAGATATATTAATTCAATGCTACTGTGAGAATAAACGTATTGAAAATGTGACCAAGACCCTTACGTCGACAAGCACTTACATTCCACTTGCAGAAGTTGAAACCCGCGGAGTACAACTACCTGACACACGATAAGTAGCTATTGGCAATATTGTCGTGTTTGCGACCTTGGAGAGCAGAATTGAGGAGCACGCCTAACTTCAAGGTTTTAACAGATCACAAGAGCCTAAAATTCTTTATGAAGAGACGGGCACTCTCTAAAAGACAAATTCGCTGGGCGGAGAAACTGGTCCAGTACGACTTCCAATATGAGTACCGCCTGGGAATGGAATCAGTTGTGCCCGACACATGCTCTTGCTGAGAATAAGGTGAATCATCGGGCTGGAACAACAAGGGAGAGCTTGGCAGGGTTATGTAGCTTCTCCCGGAGTCAACCCTTACTGGAGAAGCAGAAGGCGCCGATCAGTCGGAAGTACCAAAACTAGTAGTGCTCGAGGACCAACCGGAATTGCAGCAGCTCTGGGAAACGGCATAAAATTCGGATGAAGATTGTCAGCGTATTTATCGAGCGGCGTCTATAGTATGCTACGGTAAATAGTCAGCGACAGAGGAAACAACTGGACTAGCCGGTTCTGGAGGACGTTCTGCGAACTATCGGGAGTAGATCGCCGACTGAGCACCGCCTACCACCCACAGACAGACGGACATACAGAGCAATATAGCATAGAGATACCGGTAACCCTGTAGGCGTATTTCTGCTTTTCACAGAAGGATTGGGGAAGAACTTGCTGTGACAAACGATTTGTAATAATTAATTAAATGCAAGGTTACAATGCTAGGTTGTTTAGCCTTGTTAATGTAAAGGTCTAAGGTCTGTCTTTAATAAGATAACTTGAAGTCTTTCTTAAACAGAGTGGGTAAGTGTACATTTAAGGTCGCTTATGTGCAAGAAAATTTCAAATGGTTGTGTAAGATTTTGTTCCTCAGAAGTCCTCAAAAACTATCACACAAGAGGCCAAGGCTAAAATAGTTCTTATAGAGCAGCCTATATTACATTAAGCATATTAGAAGAACTGCTACTTCTAACTTATCTGTATACTTAACTTATCGCCCTTGATGTTGGGTAGATTCAAATAGGGACCTAGGGAACTTGTATTATAGGTTAAGGTTATAGACAAAGTTGACCTATCCGAGAGCAGGGAGGTATTAAGAATACGATCGTCAGGGATGGGATCATGACCCAGTAAAGAATCGAGGCGTACACGTTTTTGTCCCCTGTCTTCTTCTGAGACCTCAGTATACCACCTGTCCAGATCAACAAGGCTACCACGATCCTCCTTGCACAGCCGACTTCGCCTTTAATGACTAGCACGCTATGAACCCCTGCCCCCGTAAAAACTCAACAAATCCGTACCCAATAACTTTTCGGCTCTCCACTTAAAGCCAACTCCCTTCTTGCTTTGACGCAGAATAACAGACCGCTGTAGACCTGCTAGCATAAAAGGCTTAATAAGTATTAAAAGGGCCTAGGCAAGATAAGATAACACGAATTGACGGCTAGCGTTGTTGAGGTATTAAAGGCGCGTATTACGGTATAGGCTAGAGAACTTTTCTACGTTGGTCTTAAAGACGTATAGCATATATGCCGAGGCTATAGTAGTAAGTAAAGCATCTGATATGCCCGAAGCGAACTCAGGCTTCAGGATAATAGAAAAAAACAGGTATTAAAGCAACTATATATATTAGCTCTTAAGCGGATAATTTTCCGGGAATCATTAACGTCACGCATATCCACCCTAAACTACAATATGCTATTCCATATAAACTATTTGCCTTCTTCCCTTGGTATTTTATAGGTACTAGTAAGGCTAAAGCCGTGGTCAATTAGCGCGCAGCTTCGACAAGTATTAGTTACAGGAGCTGACTTTAGGTAAGGCTAGGCGTTAAGGATAAAGCCGTGCGGTTATCGCTAGTTGCAGAAGCATAGTATAACAAGGTACTAGTACAAAGCTACTACTTAATAAAAACGTGTGCATTAGTTTAAAGGGTTAAAGCATAGGTAATGATAGTTAGATAGAAAAGGAAAGAAGAAAGACACGATGGACTGATAACCAGGGTTGACAACAAAACAATACTCCCTAGGCGTTAAGACCCTATATATCAGAATTTGGTCTAAGATAGGCTATATACCTTAGCGGTCAAAGTAAAGTCGTCCTAAGTCAAAGGCATTGTGAGTAATAGTCCAGTAAGCAAGGAGCGTAGTGTAGTAGTGTAAGTCCTTAGGTTGCCCTGTCGTGCCTGCGTCGCTTTCATTGACACGATTAACATATGGTAAGGCGAGTAGGAGGTCAAGTGGCGGAGGGTAGGCTGGGTGAAAGAAGTAAGCGGTTTGACTGTTGTTGTTGTTGTTGTTGTTGTTGTTGTTGTACGTTGAAGGAATCGTGAGGGGAGAATGGCGAAGGCAGATGGGCACGGAATTTATGTCATGCTACTTCTAGTTGCGTAGTGTGGTGTTAATTGTGATCCAGTTGAAGTTGATGACGTTAATGTTTCCCATGAGTGTGCGCGTGGAATCTCGAGACCAGTCGGAAAAGGTACGGTTGAACCACTTTAATATGGCTTATATGCTATGTATTAGCTAAGAGTTTTATTAGCAGTGTGCCTGTTTGAAACCGAGCTGTATGCTAGTTAATCCTTTAGAGAGTATTGCTTAGATGGGGATCACCGTAGTATCTATGGAAATCTTTATCTTAATTAGCGACTGACATAAAATCAGGACGGCATCATAAAGAGACAAATTATGCCATGCATCTCGTGTTATCTAGGTGACGATATGACTGAAGTGGCTCGGCTATCGAGCGTGCAGAAACCGAACCGGCATCTTGAGGGGCCTCCTGCTCTAAGGAGGGCACCCAATTCTCAAATCATTCTGCCTAGAAAAAGCAAGCAATTATGGATAGAACGATAAAGCTTTATGTTAGTACACCTTTGCATTACTTCTCTTATTGTGCAAACTATAACATCAGCCGCTTAGAAATGTAATCTAGTTGGGTGCGCTCTAAAGCGCTGAGTAGTGACCGCATTGTCCAGCACTGAGTTCCTCGCTGGCATCGCAGAAATTTAGCAGTCCTAAATTAGACTAGGGATATTAAGTATAATCCAGTTGATTTTCGCGACTCTAATTACTTAAGTGAGACTGGCAGCTGTATTCTAGTTCCTGGTGGGCAGGATGGATACTAGAGCCCTAGCGAAGGGCCACAACCCGCGCCTGCGTGCATACCCCGTCTTGCGGCTCCCCCCGTATCCGGCCCATTTCTGCGCGCCCTAAAGCCACAACTTCTGACCGGCGAGCACACTCAACGTCTGGTCTCCCTTATTGTTAAGTTATCGGTTTGTTAAGTTATCGGTCAATGTGGCTTATTTTTGCGCAAGCTTGAGGCAATTGGAAGCTTCAGTCAAACTCCCCAACAGCGATCCCGTCGCCCTGCGATGCCAGCTCCTAGCCTCGGCAATCCTCTCTCTCTGTTCATTCTGCTTCCCAAAATCGGTTAACGTTTGTCGGCTATAGCAGCAGTCCATGAATCTGAAATTCTCCAAAATAGGGTTAAGTGAGGATGGCTTAAGTGATAACCAGCAAGATTGAGAGGGAAGTTAAGAGGTGGCCGAGGAAAGGTACCGCAAGCTTATCCACGTCCTCGTTTGCACCCAAGGGTTTCGCTCTATATTAAAGCGGATAAAAAGCCCCAAACAGTAGCGGTTCTTGCGATGAAACGATAATCAACTTAGGTACATCTCCATCGTCGACGCTTTTGTTCTAGCGGGCGCTCAACTTTGACCACTTTCAGGAATTCATGAGAGACGATTGTCATGAGGCCCTCGGGTTCCGAAAAAAGTGGGACTTGCTACAATTAGGTTGCTCAGTAGTAGATGACCAATTTCACATTGTCAATGTGTGAGTACTAAGAGTAACAGTTGCGATTGACTTCTAAGATGGACTCTGCTTTTTGCCCATAGCAATATATGCCTGAGATGGCAGAATTCTTTCCTTATAGCTTGCTCAGACGTGCACACTCTGGATGGGTCAATTGTTGAAATTATCTGGGACGGCGAAGTGTTTGCTTGGAAACAAGGCATAGCTACGTAGCTGGGTTGAGGCTCATGTCAAAGTCTGAGCTTATGTGTGGAGGTGAGATTGAAGGCGGGGCTAGAGAACATCAGCCGAAAAGCCGGGGACTCCGCCAGGCCGATAATCGGATGACAGGCACGCGGCCCAACCCAAACCCATCGTCGTATTGGATGGAAGTCCTTCTTGGCGAAACCACCGGGAAAATTTTGCAGCTGGCTTCAGCTTATGATTTGGCTACGTTACCACATCTGGAGCGTTGCTTTGGATCTCAGACTGCAATATTAATCTTGTGACACACTGACGATGCCATCTGAGTCGTTCGGGTGACGTCTGGTCGTGTACGTAGACTATTGCCCAGTTTTTCCCTGGCTTCTACCAGGCTAACCCACGGCCGATGACATGCACTGTTCATTGTTGCAGTGTATGGGAAGCTTGGAGGATTTGTCCCATAGTGTTTGGGGAGCCACTCAACACAGTTATGGTATCACACACGTTTACTCCGGATCCTGGCATGAGTGAAGTAAATCCACGCCTCTGCCAAATCAGCTATGCACAGATAAACGTGTTTAAACGCCGCTTATGTTTGTCATGAAGCTAATGCGGGGTTATGACGCGACTCAACTTGAGGTTTTAAATATTGTCTAGGAGACATTTTGAAAAGTAAAAACAGGCAGGGAAGCCAACCAATAGCTTCGGTATCGTTCGTGGAAGCTACAAAATGGTTCCAGGATGTAGTGCTATTATATAAGTACGCCTAGCAAAATCTCAGACGATTGAAGTTTCAATACTCTCTGTTTGGTTAGGCAAGCGGAAATTTCTATGCATCAGATCGGGCTTGCTAAGTTATTGGTTCTGTGTCTTTGAGCAGGGCTCACCCCCAGTGTAGCCTTTACCCTACGTAGATGACTGGTGATCGAATCCTAATTGAAAGAATGACATTTGTCTTGGAAGCTTCGGGAGCAAAGCTCAGCCCGCGCCGCAGCCTATATGGTAATAGGTAGAGTGCATAATGAAAATGGATTGGGTGTCTGCCTTAGGAAGACCACCCAGGTATAAATATCCGGTAAGTCCTCGTCTTTCACGCTCCGTTTTTCGTTCATCAACGATAAACTCATCTTGTAACAATCTGCCTATCACATTTTCGTCTACTATTTCCACTCAAAACACGTTGACCCTTCTTCCTCCTCATCACAAACTCCAGCACGCAACTATGCATGTCTCATCTCTTCGTCAAGCTGCTACCCTTGGCATGACATTTTATGTCGCAGCTACTGTTGCGGCACCCGTAGCCTTGCCAGCTGCTGATAATGTTGATGAAGCAGCTGGGATCGTTGAGGTGAGTTAAGTTCCTTCCGTCGTCACTACAAAACGTCACTGGATTTGGTTACACACTAGATGCTGATATTAAAGCAGCGTGCACCCGAGTTCATCGTAAGTGGGTTCTGAAATGAAACGTTTTGCCCCCAGCATCTCTCTGCACGTTTTTGACTTATTTTCCACACTCACAAACAGCCCGGCAATGATAATCTGAAGCTAAGCAGTTCTTTCTAAATATTCTTCACTATTTCAAAGTCTTGTTAACATGTCTAATACAGGCCCCCGATGACTTTGTTGCCGCGCGCAACGAACCAACCTATTTACGGGGTGATACGGACAACGAAGTCCAGCAGGGTCAAACCCCCGATAAGCGCGGCATTGACGATGATATAGGAAAACTTTTCAACAAGGGCATTTCTGGGACTGGTGATATCAAGGGCAGTGGCTCTTTTAATGAAAAGAACGGCCAATTCAAAGGCGACATCAAGGGTAATATCGATGGAGGAAAGCTTGGTAAAGTCAAAGGCGAAATCAAGGGTGATGGCTCTGTCAATGAGAAAGGCGCAAAAGTCAAAGGCGACATCAAGGGCAGTGTCGATGGAGGGAAGGCCGGTAAAGCCAACGGCGAAATCAAGGGTGGTGGCTCTGTTAATGGAAAGGGCGGCAAAGTCAAAGGCGAAGTCAAAGGCAATGTTAATGGAGGAAAGGGTGGTGGATCTAAGACGGGAGATATCAAAACTGGCAGTGGCAATAAGGGCGGCAACAAGGGCAGCAAGAAGGGCGGCAAGTAGCAACAAATAACCTGAGATTGTAGCCAGCCATCATGTGGTTTCCTGTTACCAACTTGACAATTTACTCTACTACCTTACTCTTGTTTTGAAACGGCGGCTGACAATGACCAACTGTGACACTAGGCCAAAAGATCCGGCAGTGCAGGTGAACACGTGTAAAATGCTGCCGAAGCTGCTTATGAGGGATCATGGGCTATATCGTGCGCTTCACGCTAATCGACCTGATATAGCCGGGTTGGGTGTCGAACCCGGCCATAGTTTATATGCAAAATTGTAGTGTAGACCGTCTGACTGGCTGCCATGGTATTATGTTGCTTACTTTGACGAACGCCGGACATAAGAAGTTGTCGTAGAGTCACCACTTAGGGTAGAAAAGACATAAGGAAAACGGCTTAGATTTCTATGTGCAGGATTGCCTTGTCTAAAACAAATAAATATGTATCCTGTGTAGTGGATCTGCATAAAGGGACTGGACTAATAGTTAATCCGGGCCTGGCGCAAATCTCACAAGGCTATGCGATGCGCGTAAGGGCATTATAACACACCTCCCTAGGTAGATTAATAGATTCTAATTGTTATATATTTAATAATAGCTATATATAAAAGAATTACTTTAAAAGAATAAATAAAAATATAAATATTTACTTTTAAAGTAATAAATATAAAAGAAATAGTTATATAATAAATACTATACTTAGCTATTAATAATAAAAAAACTACTCTTTTTCTTTTTATTACTTTTAAATAACGTACCTGTATAGCGAGTCATAGATCATATTAAGTTACGTATATTTACTTCCTTTTTACCTCTTTAACCTTTAAACATCTTTTTCTCTATGTATAAATATGTAATTTACTTTAATTAAAAGTCGTATTATTTTTGTTATCTAGGCTCTTAAACAAGACCTAAAAATACCTATATAAAGAGTTACTTTTACCTTTAAGGTCCTTAAATTAACCCTTTATAATTAACGTATAAGACATATTATATAAAGTAAAAGACAACTAAATTTAATAAAGATAACTATAACTAAAAAAGAAGTAATTCTTAAATAAGTTATTAACTTAATTAATTAAAGGTTCTTTTTATAATAAGAAGATATATAAGAAATAGCTAATTAACTCTTAAATACGTATAATAGGACGTATATAAGTGTTATAACCTAACAAGCATAACATAACCAGGGTCGCCCCACAGGCGCCTAGCGGTTACAAGACAAGGTTATATACAGGATAGCACAAGAACACGTTAATCCCCTCTTAGAACAGAAGAACTAAGGAAAGTCACATAAAAATAAAAAGGACCAACAACAGATAAGCAGTCCATGACCCAGGACCAACATACCAAAGATTAGTCCTCATCAAAGACCGACTTCAAGAGATCGGTCCTAACAAGGCAACAATAGGATATAAGGATAATCATTCCAACTAAACTAAATACCTTCTATAGCTCTTCAGCAATCAACTTTATAATTCACTCTCTTATAAGTAACTCTTAGATTATCCTTCTATTATAAAGCTATAAAGCTATCTACGCCTAGACGTACCTAACTGATCACCAGACACCAACAGACCAGCAAGATTACCAACAAGACTTACCTTACTATTACTAAGTATTAACCTTAGCTACCTATTAGCAGAAAACACTACTATCAGATATCTAACTATAACACTTTAATTACTCCTATTTAGTAAGTTAACCTTAATACTCACTAAACAATAACCATGTCCGCTAAAGGCACTCCAGCTTTATCCTCAGCAGGTTCTAAGGAAAAGGCATCTACGCCTCCTACCCTTAAGAACCTAAACAACAAAATAAAGGACGCCAAAGGATCAGACAATAAAATCGAATTCACCAGGAAAATATATAAGGATTAGCAAAAACGCATAAAGCAAAACAACAACAATATTACGCAACTACAAGCCATAGTAAACAAAACCACTAGCACTCTTTAAGCAAAGACTCTAGAGACCAACAAGCTCAAACAGCAAGTCCAGACTTTGCAGAGAACCACCAACATCATCTCAACCCCACTAGAAGGACAGGAGAAACTCAAGCTTAACTCCCCTACTACCTATAACAAAACCTCTAGAACTTTAAAAGAATTCCTAATTCAAATCAAAACCTACCAGACATTCTACACAAATAACTTCCACACAAAAACAAAAAAAATCATCTATATAGACACCTTCTTCAAAGAATAAGTCCTCTCTTAGTTCAAACTTTACCTAAAAAATTACCTAGACAATAAAACGCTAGAACACTATAACCTAGAGACCTAGCAGATCTTTAAGAGCTTTACAGGATTTAAGTATACCTTAAAATCCTTATTCTAGGACCTAGACAAAAAACAATAAGCTAAATAAGACTTATTAAATCTCAAACAAACCAAGTTAGTTACTAATTATACTATAAAATTCTAAAGAATCTATATATAACTTAACTACACTAATAACACTAAGATCTTTATATTCTACTAAGGACTTAAAAAAGACATAAAAGATAAGCTATTTAAGCTTAACTAACTAAATAACTTCCTATAATACATAGAAATCACAGTTAGAATTAATACTAGACTATATAAACAGCAGAAAGAAAAAAGAGAAGTATATTACCTTTAGCTAAATACTAACAAAAAGTATATACTATAAGGACCTAGGAACTTATAGCTTAACTTATACTAGCAAAATAATTAACAATATAATAAACTAAGTACCTCTTATAAGTAATATAATAGACCTATAAACGTTAATACTATAACTAGAAAGCCTTACTAGAACTACTAAGACCTAAAGAACTTTAAATATTATAACTATAAGAAGCCTAGCTATATAACTAAAGACTATAAGTAGCCTAAACGACTTTAGAACTAACTTATACCTAAAAGCATTAAGAAAACTAATATAATAAAAAAAGAAATTCTTTATAAATAAAGAAATTAGACTACTTATTTTAATAATAACTATTTAGTTTATTAAAAATAAAAAGAATAAATAAAATAATATTTATAATAGCTTAAACCTAGAACTATAATAATTTCTTAATAAACCTAGAAAAAAGGCTACTTAAAGTAAACTATAGTTTAATAACTAAAGCAATAAAACTAATAACTAATTACTAAGCTTATTTAAGCTAAGAAAACTATATAAAACAAAAAAGATAACCCTTATATACTTAATACTTTAAAAGTCATTAAAAAATAACTTTAACTATATATATAAGCTTAAGAGAACTTCTAGAAATAATAAGTACTTAAGAAAAACTTTAAGAATACTCTTAAAAAAAAAAGAAATATTAAACTAAAAAAGCCTACTAAGATAGTAGCTATAAAACAAAAATAACCACAATAACTTAGATTTTTTTCTCTAAGACTTAGGTTTAAGGAACCTATACCTTAGGAGTTAATTAAAGTACTTAGTAAAAAAATAAGCTCTAAAAAAGAACACAAGGAATTACTTAATAAGTTCAAACCCTTAAATAAGCTTAAAAAAAAAGCTACTAAGTAACTTATAGATCTTAAAAGATCAAGCTAAACTTCTATATAATTAATATTTTATTAAGATATTAAAAAAAAAACTAGGATAATTATATTTATATTATTTTTTAAAAAAAAAAATCCTCTAATAAATTAGACCTTAAACAAAAAGCCTTCTATAAAAAGGAAACACAGCTCTATAAAGCTAACTAAAGCTTAACTTATTATAACCTAAACAAACTAATAGCTATATAAATAAATATTAACTTTAATAACGACTTAATAGTTAAAAAGGCTTAACCTACTAAAAAGGACTACTCTAAGTACTAACTATAGTATAAAAAAAATAAAAATAATTAAGAAGTCTAGTTCTATAAAATAAATAATACCAGAATCAATAAGAAACTAGTAGTATCTATCCTAGAGAAACCTATATTTAGAGACTATAAACACCTTAACTAAAAACATATATACTATACCAAAGTATTTTAAGCTAATTATATCTATAATAAATACTAGTTCTACCTCTAAGACAAGGAACTTAATAACTTCTTTCCTTAATAAAGAAAATAGTAGCTAATTCCTATAATCTACTTCTATTACTAACTTAGTATATAGATAATTAAGGAATTTAAAGTAAGCTAATTATATATATAACTTAGTCTAGAATACTTAGTTTTATACTATAATAGACTAATTAAATACTAATCTAAATATATATATAATAAATATATAATATATTATATAAACAAAGCTAAAGCCTAAAGAACCTAGATTAAAGAATAAACTCCCCTTAAAGTAAAACTAGTAAACATAAAAAAAAATTAAACTACTAACACTACTTAAAAAACTAGGGACACTAACTACACCAGGATAGCAGGTAATAACACTAAAAAAGTCCCTATATTTAGCTATAACAATAGACGCCTTACACCTAGTTCTAAGCGTCTATATTAAAGGACAGCTTACTTAAGTCATAATTAATAATAGAGCACAAGTAAACCTAATGTTACTATAACTAGTAAATCAATAAAGAATCACATAGAGATTTAAGGAGAATCCTTATACTTTATAAAACGTGGAAGGAGAAATAGTTAAGTATAGTAAAGGCACTATTAATAAAGAAACTACATAACTCTCTATAGTTACTTATAACCATTAAGAACATCTAATCTTTAATATAACATAAATTAGAGATATAGATATTATTCTTAGAATCCTATAGTTATAACAATATAACCTAAGTATAGATTAAAGAATAGGCTAACTTTAATAGAGAGATTTAACTATAAAGTAATATTATAAGCTATAACCCCTAAGTAAATTAAAGTGATATAAATACGTTATATACGTTAAAAGAATTAAACTTATAAAAAACAATAGATTTAAATAATTTATTAATAACTAATAGAAAAAGAAATGCTTTTCCTTAATCTTAATATAATACTATAAGTACACTAAACTCTTTACTAAAGAATTAAAAACTAGCTTACCTAAACATAACTTATATAACTATAAGATACT